GTATGTGAGGCCAGGGTGGGGGGGGGTGTCAGGGAGCCAGTTCGCCCACTTGTGGGAGCTTAGGGAAGCTAGGTGAATATGTATAGCCCCAGGGCTCCAGATCAGAGGGAAGTGGGCCATTGTCTGAGCTGCAGAGCACCTTGTGTGGAGCTGTGTGGAGGTGTGTGGGGCCCCAGGTCTGAACTCAGAAGGGAGTATGTGGGAATAATCCCAGGGCTCAGGGCAAAGGGTGTATGGGTCCTAGGCTGGGTTGGAGCTCACGAGTAAGTGAGAGTTCAGTATGGGTGTAGCCCTGGGCCCTGGACTGGGAGCTTTGGCAGCTGGTGTCCCCGTGGCTGGGAAGGTGATTTCCATCTACCCCTTGCTTAATAATTTGTGTGGAAAGGCAAGATGGAGTCCTGAGGGCCGGGACCCAGCTAGGGAGATGCCTTTGCCAAACTCTTCAGTATTGCCTCCCGCCCACTCCAGGGAAGGCATGGTCTGTATCTCAGACTGTCTGGGGGGGGGGGGCGTGGGCATCATAACAGTGTACAGTCATCTGCCTCATTTGGTCCCCTCCTCTTATGTGCTAAGGTAGGGATGTGGCCCCTAGGCTGGGGTGCTTGCTGCCCCAAGGCAGGCTCTTTCCTATGGATTGGGAGAGGAGCTTCTCTAGTTCCCAGGAAGGCCTGGGATTCCCTGAGAAATGACAAGGAGGGCTTTTTGTTGAGGGGACCCTCCCCTCGCCAGGGAGCCACAGCTTATCCCTAGAGAAATTTAGCTCCATGACACCCACCTTGTCCTGGGAAGTAGGTGGGGGGAGAATGGCCCTTCCAACACTTACTGTCCTTGAGTGGAGGGAGTGGAACAGTGTTACCCCAACCTTGCTCTTCCATAAATCAAGGAGATCAGTGGAAGAGGTGCTGTTGGAGGCCTGGGTGGATGTTGGAAGATGACCGTGGGATGTGCTTGGGGGGTTATTACCCAAGCTCCCTGTATACTCAGGGCCATTGGGCTGGGGATTGGCTAAGGTCTACCAAGCTGGGCCGTACTCTCCAAACCAGGATTACCAGGCTGTGGGGGCGGAATGAGGATTCATCACTCATTCAGCTACATTCCCTTCCAAGCTGGGTTTCTACTGTGGGCATCCCCTTCTTTCTCCTCCCATACACGAGTCACCCCACTTCAAGCTTCCTCAGGTATCTGTAGGACACCCCCTCAAATGTAATGAAAGGACAAGCAGTTCCCCCTGGAATGGGTCATCAATTAGCTCTCCTTCCCCTTGCGACATCCCAATAACATCTCACATTTATAATCCTGTTGTGTACACTACACAAATGGGAAAACTGAGTTTCAGAAAGGTGAGTTAAATAAGTGAATTAGGAGACACTGGATAGAGTACTGGATTTGGAGTCAGAGGACCTGGATTGAAATCCCAGTTCTGAGGTGTAAGCCATACATGATCTGAGGGGAAGTCACAACTTTCCTGGACCTCAGTTTCCCCTTCTGCAAAGTGAGGTTGGATTAGAATGGTCTCTGGGGCTCCTTCCAACTCTGGACCTATAGTGTTCTGACTTGGGTTCAAATCCTGCCTCAGACATTTGGTACCGGTGCCTCCCCTCCACACCCCAGGAGGCCATCCCACCTCTCCCCATCCCCTCCTCTCAGGGGCAGTGGCACATACCACACCCGCCTCCATACTTCCACTCTACACGGCCCATTCTATTCCCTGTCTCCCCCTCCCCGCGGGACATCCCACTCCGTGTCCCCTCCCATGGGGCACTGCACTCGCTAAGCCCCCTCCCCCATGAGGGGGTACCATGGGGGCTGTATCCCATGGTACAGCCCACTCTATTCCCTTCTCCTCCCGGCCCATCCCCCCCATATCCCACTCTATGTGGTACATCCCACCCTATCAATATCTCCCCCTCCCACATGGTGCATCCCACTCCCCCCATACACACACCCCGCGTGTCCAGGGTCATTGGGACATTCTGCTCTTTCCCCACCAGTGACAGAGGAGCCCCGCAGAGAGCTCTGCTCTCCCCCCGCACTCGGACCCAGGGCCAGCTCCGCTCCCTCTCACCTTTGGCCCGGCCTCGCCGCCATCGCCGGCGGCCCCGGCTGCCCGCCCTCTCCTTGGTCCTGGAGACCCCGGCTCCCCCAGCCGGCTCCATCGTACTCAGCCCGGTCCCCGCCACCGGACCAATCCCCTCCCCGCGCCACAGCCCGGCCCCCGCCCCGCGGACCAATACGCGTCGACTCCGAGCGGCTAGGGCCCCGCCCCCCAGGGCCCTTAAAGGGCTCCTTCCCTTTCCCGCCCCCTGCGCCCTTTCCTGACCCAGGAGTAGGGGCGAGACTCGGACTGAGTGGCCGTTAGTCTCTTCCTCACTCCCATCCTTCCTGCCAGCTGCTCCTTCCTCAAGCTGCAGGGAGGCTGAGGGCTCAGGTTACTGCGCAGGCGCGCTTCCCCAGAGCGAGCGGAAGGCGGGGGCGGGACAACCTCCAGCTTCCTAGAGAGCCGAAGGTGGGGCATGAGTCATTCTCCTCCTACCCCGTTCCAGCCCTCCCTGGGGGTTGCGCATGCATGCCCTATGTCGAGTCCGTTCAAATGAGGAGGGACTGGTATAGAGCCTGCGCGTGGGTGGCACGTGATCTCTGTTTCGCAGGAAAAGGTGGGAAGGAGAGGATAGCTCGAGGCCTCCGTACAGGGGTTTAGGCCTGGGGCTTGGAATGGGGCGTGGTCTGGGGGTGGGTGTGGTCTACGTGAAGGCGTGGCCTCGGGGGATATTTGTGTGGGGCCTGAAGGGAGGCTTAGCCTAGGCTGGCCTTAGGGCGTGGTCTGGAGTAGTGGGTGTGGCCTATACATGTGGGCGTGGTTTCTTAGCCTTCCCCCGCCCTTGCCATCTGCTAGTGGCTGGTGGGCTTGGGGTTGGGCAGGGGGGAGGAGGGTGAGGGCCTGCAGGGGCTGAGCTGAGTCACGTCCCATGGCCCCTCATCCCAGGAGGGCTTCACGGTCCAGAGCCGGGGAGGGGGGCTCGAGTCCTGAGCCTGCCAGGGCAGGGACTTTTCCGATTACTCGGGACTCCCAGCACCAACGCCGTCTGGACACATAGTGGGGCTTGATACAGGCTTGTTGGATTGGAGTGTGCTCTCCCCCATCCCCGAGGGCGCTCTGGGCCTGGGCGAGGGGCTCTCCTGAGGCTCCCCCCACCCCAGGAAAGGGACGGGAGGGGCCGAGCCCTGCACGCCCAGGGTCTGTGGGCTACCAGGCTTAGCAAACAAAGCAGACTGAGACGTCAGGTCCAGCTTCTTTTAAAATGTTATTTCCCTCTCCTTCTCTCTCCTCCCCCCCTCCCCCATCACAGGATCTCAGAAGTGGAGACTGAGCCCAGGCCCTCAGACTGCCCACCCAGAGCTCTTGGAGTCTGAATTTGGAATCTGGGGAGTCCACTTAGACCCAGTAACTGCCCTCCTTTCCCCCTACTCCCCCATTCCAACTCAATAGGGTCCTTTCACCTCTTTTCATCCATTACTCACCTGCATCCCTAGGATGATTGATATGTATCTTTCCATCGTGGCCCAGGGCTCTTTCTGCTGCTGACATCACCTTGTGGTTGGAAGGAGGTTCCTGGAGGATGGAAGAGTCCTTTTTGGCTCCGCTGTCCAAGGCATTTCTTTCTTTCTCTGTTCCAAGTGGCTGCCGTGGTGAAGACTGGGGTGTGAGTGTCTGCTGTGTCACGGGCTCCTTCTCGTAGCCAGCTTCTTGCTCGGTTATGGGCTGTTGCTGCCACTGTAAGGTAGCTTGTTGCTGTGATGCAGGTCTCTGCTGTAACGGAGAGGCCTGCCCTGATATGGGTCCTTGCTCCGAGGTAGATTCCTGTTTTGACCTGGGTTCGAGGTGCCTGGTGGATTCCTGCTGTAATATGGGCTCCTGCTTCAATTGGGGTCTTGGCTGTGCTGCAGGCTTGCTCTCGGAGGTGGCTCCAGGCTGGGATGCTGGTACTTCTTCAGTACCTCCGAGTTGGGATGTGCGTCCATTCTCAGAGGCTGAGCCCTGATGAAACCCCAGCTCTGAGGCTGAGTCCTGCAGGGATTTCAGTTCTAGATGCATCACTGATCTGCGTTGGAAGGTGTGGATGTGCTGGGATGTGAGGGATATGTCTCTTTCGGAGGCAGCTTCTGACTGGGACAGAGATTCGGGCTGGAATGTTGGCCTTTGTTCAGAGGCAGGTCCCAGCTTTGCTAGAGAGATCTGCTCAGGAGCACGTTGTCCCAGCTGTGCTGTGGGGATCTGCTCAGGGGCACGTGATCCCAGCTGTGCTGTGGGGATCTGCTCAGGGGCACGTGATCCCAGTTGTTGTAAAGGGGTCTGCTCAGG